CAGAATATATTTTTATTTTTAAGGTTTTAAAATTAAAATAAATAGTAGATATATTAATATATATATATATATATATATTATTTTAAAATAAATATTTTTTATATAAAATATTTTTATTATTATTTTATGGTATTAAAAAAATATTTTTTCACCAAATAAAAAAANAATTAAAAAAATTTTTTTTAAGTTTTATATAATTAGAAAATATAGACAATAAAATATGTTTAAATTAATTTTTATTTTAATTAGCCTATAAAAATAAAAGATAAAAATATAATATAAAATTATTTGAATATATTTATATATATATATACTTATATATTTATATTTTTATTAAGTTTTTATAATAAATTTTATATTAAAAAAAATTAAAATGTAAGTTTAATTATAAATATTTTCATTTATTTTCTTATTGTTTTTACTATATAAGATGATTTTTAATAAGGTAAATATAATATTTTATATTTTATTAAATTATATTCTATTTTTTTTTAAAATATTTTAAAGTTTACCAAAATATTATTTAATGTATTGAAGATAAATCTAATGAATATTTTAATAATGATAAAAATTAATTGTCTGTGTAATGTACTATAGAATTATTAAAATTTGATGATTGCTTTAAATCATTTGATAAAAATTAATTCCTTAAAAATTAATTGAATTAAATATATAGAATGTTAATTACTAATAAAGATTATTAATGGACTACAAATAATCCACATAAAATATAAAAGATGATTTAATTAAATGTGGAAATGATATTTAAGATTCATAAGCTAAAGAATTTATCAGAAATATTAAATAATGCACAAGTACTTATATATTTAAATAATTATCGTTTATTTATTTAATTTTAATAGATAATTCGAATCTTTCTAAATTTATTTCTAGTTTTTTTTCTTTATTAGTATTGTTGATTATATAATGATATATTTTTAATAATACTTTTATTAAATTTTTTCATATAAATTTATTTAATATATTTTTATTTATTTGTTTGTTTCTTAATATTTTTTGTAAATTTAAATAAAAAATTAAAAAATTTATAATATTATTTTTGTTATAAATAATAAAAGTAAATTTATATTTAAAAATAATATATATTAATTTAAAATAAAAAAATTAGGTTTTTTTTATAAAAAATAAAAAAATAAATATATATATATATGTTTATAATAAATATTTTTGTTATAATGTATATATTTAAATATATATATATATTTATATATTTACATTAAATCATTAATATATTTTTTAATTTATTTATTTTATATTAAATTAAATTTATTCCTTATTATCATAATATTTAATAAAGTTAAATAAAGAAAATTTGTTTATAAAATTAAAATATAACATAAATTATAAATATTTTAAACATAACAATTAAAAATATTTTTTAAATTATTTGATTTTTTAAAATTCTATGAATTCTAAAATAATTATATATTTTTATTAAAAAATAAAAAATGTTTATTTAAGAAATTAATGATATAGTAATAATTGATGAAATAGTAATAAATTTAATTTATAAAAGTTTTATGGATTTATAAAACTACGATATTAAAATTTCTGAATTATATTAATATTAAAATGTCGTAAATAAAATTTATATATTAATAAATTAATATAAAAAATTATTAAAATTTTAAAACATAATATTTATAAATTAAAATATTTATATTAAGAATAATTTTAACAAAAATAAATAGACAACAATTTATTATTAAAAAAAAAATGTCTATAATTTATATAAATAAAAATTTTGACATTTAATATAAATATATATTAATAAAAACAAAATAATATATATATATATTTATTATATTATTTTGATTATAATTTTTTATATTAATATATATATTCTCACTATTTTAAAAATTTTTTTATTAAAGAAAATAATAAATAATTACTAATTATAATTCATATTAAATATATTAATTAAAAAATTTAAATATTAAATATAATTTTTATTTTATAAAATTTCAAAATAATAATAAAAAATATTTATTTTATTTTTTAAATAAAATTAAATTTATTAATTTCTTCTCTATTTTTTTTGTTTATTATTTTATTTATTTATAATATTTAAAGAAATAGTTTCTTCTTTAAAATTAAAAAATAAATATTAGTAATTTCTTAATTTTAATTTAAATATCTTTTATTTAAAATTTAATTTTTATTGATTTAGTTTGATTGATTCTTTTCAAAAAAATAATAATAAATATATATTTTAAGAATAACAAAATTGGCTAATATTATTAACCCAATAATATATATTTTAATATAAAAATTATTATAAATATATTATATTTTTATATATTTATATAATTATTTTTATTAAATAAAAATAACTCTTTTATTTATTTATTTAATTTTATTTAGTATTATATTTGGTTATAATTAACCTTTTTATAAATAAAAAATTAATAAAAATAATAAAAAATGATAAATTAATAGCAATATTATGATCCGTATAATTACCCTACATTAAATAAAAAAGACACTATGTATTTATAAAGCCTAAGTAAATAATCAATTTTTTTTTTTTTCTTATTCTTTTTTATTTTATGAAATTCCAATAAACAAAAAATAATGGCTATATATTTTACTTAATGGCCTTTTTTTAATTTCATTGATATGATAAATGAAAAATATTCATAATTAATATGATATAATACACAATAAAATAAAAATAATATGAATAAATTTTATATAAATTTGATATTAATAAAAAAATATAAAAAGACGATAAAAATGATAATTATTATAATGGATTTTCTCATAAAAGTTTACCAAAAAGAATCAATAAAGACTATAATTTAAACATATAAGATATAAAAGGTATTATAAAATAAATACATCAAATAATAAAAAAAATATATATAAAAAAAATTCTATATACACAAAATTATACATTTATAAAAATAAATCTCATAAATATAAAAAGGAACTTAATCAATATTTAAACATGTATAAAAGAATAATAAGCCTGAATTTAATTTAAATAATAGAGACATATAATATTCAATACCTCGTCCTTTATTATAATATTAAGAATTTTCCAATAGACCTAATTTCGTTTTAGAAAATAAAGATATTTAAGGCACTTAACCTAATATAGTAAAATTTTAATCAAAAAGAAATTATTGTAATCCTTTATAACCAGTTTATTTTCTTTCAAAAGTACGTTAATTGGAAGAAGAAATTCCTAAATTTATAAAAGATAATATGTATATAGGTGTAAATATATATTATCTTATTAATTTATTTTTTTTTAAATAAAAATAGGATATTGATGGGGCTTAATGTAAAAAAAAATTATAACTTTTAAAAAATAATTACCGGAAATTGAAAAATCGAAACCAAAAAAAAGTTTTTTTCCAAAAGATTATATAGATTCTTTAAAAGTAGATGATATTAATTAGAAAAAATACCTCATATAAAATAAAATGAAGTGTAATAAAATTTTATAGAAGGCTCTTAATCAAAAATTGTACATAAGTTTTTAAAAAGAGAATATGATCCTATGTAAAATAATGATATATAAGGAAGTCAAGTTGGATATTTAAATAAAAAAAAAATATATTGAAAATAGAGATAATTTAAATAATAACGATATATAAGAAAGCAAAGCAGGAAGTAAACAAAATAAAATAAAAACTAATAGATGTGTAAATCCTTTAAATCCTGATTATAAAATGCCTGGTTATTCAGAATGCAATAATAAATAAAGCGGTTTTATAGCAAAATGAATTAAACACTG